TTCAAGAAGCTAAATAATCATCTATCTCTGCAGCTGGAGAATGTGGAGTAAGGGTGAAGTGTACCTGGTGCTGAGTGACAGGCTCCTAACTGCTCCTTCATGTCCCAGGGTACTATCATCCCTTTCAAAGGCTTTCCTAACTCCTCAAGTGCACCTGTCTCCTCCTTCCACTTTCTCACATTTCTTTTTGTTATGCAAGTCATAACAAATTGTATTGTACATTTCATCATGTATTTACATAATGTCCTTAGCAAACTGCATTCTCCATGATGGCAAGGATTCACTCGGTTTTTAATAACCAGCTTCTAGGCTAAAACAGACATATTCAATTACATGTAAATCAGGTATGCTTGTCTTGCCTGTCTAGAGCAGAGACTCACTGGGCACAGGAATTTAGGGTGACAGCAGCGGTGGGTGGGTGTAGCGAGCCGTTCTGCTGCTCCGGTCCGAGGGTCAGGGAGCAAGAGAGAGAGTGGGGACAGGGACCCAAAGAATGGAGACAAGACGAAGTCTGGTCAAAGACGAAGTCTGCCTGCTGGAGACGGAGTCTGAGTCTGTCTGCTCTCTGTCAAGTCTGTCTGGAGACGAAGTTTGTCTGCTCTGACTAGTCTGTCTGCTTTCTGCCTCTGACTCTCCGTCGAGTCTGTCTAGCTCTCTGTCGAGTCTGACTAGCTCTGACTCTGGGTCTGTCCTGGTATCTCCTTTTCTCTCTCTCCTGAGTCAATCAAGTGCTGGGATTAAAGGTATGTGCTACCACTGCCCGACCTTGACTGAAAGGATCAAGATAATTATCAGAGTGTGTTCAGCTGTTGTAAACAAGTCTCTTGTCAGGGTATATGGATCAAGATGGCTGCAAAGATAATAGCCGCTTTCAGCTCAGAGTCGGCTCCCAACAGGTGGGCATTTCTTTCTTTCTTTCTTCCTTCCTTCGTTCCTTTCTTTCTTTCTTTCTTTTTTTTTTTTTTTTTTGGTTTTTCGAGACAGGGTTTCTCCGTGTAGCCCTGGCTGTCCTGGTACTCACTCTGTAGACCAGGCTGGCCTTGAACTCAGAAATCTGCCTGCCTCTGTCTCCCAAGTGCTAGGGTAAAAGGTGTGCGCCACCACAGCCCAGCTAGGAATTTCTTAAATAAATACTGCTTTGAGGAGTTTGTTGTTTTGATCTACTCCATGGCAATTTTTCATCCTCGGATCTTTCTTACTGTTCTTGACCTGTCTTTCTCTCTCTCTCTCTCTCTTTCTTTCTTTTTTCTTTTCTTTTTTTTCTTTGGTTTTTCAAGACAAGGTTTCTCTGTATAGCCCTGGCTGTCCTGGAACTCACTCTGTAGACCAGGCTGGCCTCGAACTCAGAAATCCGCCTGCCTCTGCCTTCCAAGTGCTGGGATTAAAGGCGTGTGCCACCACTGCCTGGCTTTTCTCTTTCTTTCTTTCTTTCTTTCTTTCTTTCTTTCTTTCTTTCTTTCTTTCTTTCTTTCTTTCTTTCTTTTTTGATAATGCTCTGACTAAAGGAAATTGTCCCACTCTAGAAAGTGCTCTCCCAGCATTGTCTTCATTCTTTTTTTTTGCCCCTTTTGGTTTTTTGAGACAAGGTATCTCTGTAGCCCTGGCTGTTCTGTAGACTAGGATGGCCTCAAACTCAAGAGATCTGTCTGCCTCTGCCTCCTGAGTGTTGCGATTAAAGGTTCATTCTGTTTTAGTTATTTCTCACTGGCGTGCATTCTCACTGACCTGGCTTCCTTGCTCTCCCGACTTTTTAGGGCTGTCCCTGTTTTGCAGGTAGCCCCGGGAGGCAGAAGTCTGGCCTTCTAGAGCTAACCTGACCATCAGCTGCCGTTATTGGTATTTTCTGTAAATGGATTTTTGTTGTTGTTTTGTTTCTTTGAGACAGGGTCTCTATTGCAGTTCTGGCACTTGTAGCCCAAGCCTGCCTTCACTCACAGTGATCCCCTGCCTCTGAATCCTGAGAGCTGGCATGAGCCACCATACTTAGCGTTCTCCGAAAATGTTAGGGCAGCTTCATACTTTTGAAGACAGGGGTTCCTGGACATGTTGTAGAATCTTCTGCTGTACCAAGCAATATATGTAAAAAAACAGGAATGAGTGGCTATTATTAAACACTACCTCACTGATTTGATTCCCTATAGGAAGAACTGAACACAGTCTGATTCCCGCCCCACCCCGCTCCACACCTCTTTTTGTTGAGACACGGTTTTTATATGTAGCCCTGTCTGTCCCGGAACTCTCTTTGTAGACCAGGCTGGCCTCAAACTCAAGAGATCCGCCTGCATCCGCCTCCCGAGTGCTGGGATTATAGGCGCGCTCCACCACACTAGGCTAGTCTGATTCCTTTTCATTGTGTTAGCAGGAAACGGAGTTAGCTCAGGACTAAACATTACAAACGTCCCATCTTCGTGGTGAAGGAAGCTGCTTTCTTTCAGACCCGTTCTCTTTCCTAGGGCCGTCCGTCTGGCACCGCTCTACCCAGGTCTACAACAACCTCGGAGCCTGAGAATTTCCACAAACTGAACCAAACGCTGACTATTCCGAGGAACAAGCGAAACCGGCACGCTCATCCTCCGGAATTATTTGCCAGTACGGAACTATTTCCCAGAACACTCTAGGCGTTCTACCACTTTTCAGAAGAGCTTCCTGTTTCCACCCATCTACTTCCTCTGTCCCCACCTCTTTTCTTCCGCCACCCGGATATGAGCTGTTCTCGCGAGAGCTGTGCCTCTTTCTAAGCCGGCACTCCGTAAGGTAGGTTCACGGCCCGCAATGTGGCCGTGGTTTTTCGCAGAGTTTGGGGGTAAAGACTCTTGGGGGGCCCTCCGGGGCGGCAGGCCGTGCGTCCCGGGTTGGGATGCAGCGGATTATCTGCCCTACACCCGTAGATGGCCCCGGTCTGGCGGCCCGCGCCCCAAGTGACCGGTGGCACCTTCCTCCCCTCAGGACGAAGCCATGTTCAGCTCGAGCGCCAAGATTGTGAAGCCCAATGGCGAGAAGCCGGACGAGTTCGAGTCTGGTATCTCTCAGGTGAGCTTGCGTCCCGGGTCCCCCCGATTTGTAGACCTCCGGGTCCTCTGACCCCGGCATGGCGCCCACGTTGTCTGTATTCGCAGGCGCTGCTCGAGCTGGAGATGAACTCCGATCTCAAGGCGCAGCTGCGGGAACTCAACATCACCGCAGCGAAGGTGAGCGGGGACCCCGGGGTGCGCTCACTGCCCACGAGTGTGGCTGACAGCCTCCTGGCGGCCGGGAGGCCGGCCTTCATTCCCGGAGCAAGGAACGGAAAGGCAGCAGACATGCAAAGTTCCCAGTGCAGGGCATTCTCGCTCTTTATAAGCTAGTGCTTCTTTCTGCTATTGATTGCTGTTTTTTTTTTTTTCTCTGCTCACTGACTTGAAACTTGAACTTTTTACAAGTGTCTAGACCCAGGACGACTCCAAACTCGACAGTCGTTTGACGATCAGTGGGTGTCTTCTGAGTTTGGGGTCTGATAGGTGTTTTGTTTTAATATTTTGTAAGTGTTGTATTTTGCTTCTGTTTATGTATGTGCGCCTTGTGTACTCCTAGAACTCGAATTACGAATGGTTGTGAGTGCTGGGAACTGAACCTGACTATGCTCTCAACCGGCACCACTCAGCCACCTCTAGACCCAGGATTAATGTTTCTATTGAATTTTTTGATCAGTTTCATTCTGTTGGACAGTTTTGAACTTGGAGAGCCTTACATCAAAGATCCCTAGGCCATGATGAATTTAAAGTTTACCTTTGTAGATGCTTCAGTCATGTAGGGAGATCCTGAGATAGCACATGGCCAGAGTCATGATCAGACCCGAGTCACCAGACAGAATCTCTTCTAACCTAGGCTGGCCTCCCGACTTGCTCTGTAGTTGAGGCTGGCCTTGAACTCCTGTCTCTACTTCTCCAGTGCTAGGATGATGTGCATAGATCTCTGCTGGCCTTTTAGTGTCTCTTACAGAGAGTCACTGAGATTGTGGGATTGCATTTTAGTGACCTCTTCAGGTGGGTAATAAATACATCCTGGAGATCCCACCTTAGAACCAACTTAGCACCTCATAATGAGGGTCAGGCTTTAACTTGTGAATCCCTAGACTATGTACAAACCGTAGGAGATTGTTTGAGCGGGGAGTTGTTTGCTTGGGAGGCAGAGGCAGGTCTACAAGCACTGCCTCAGAAGGGGTGGGTCCTTGATTCGGTGGTATTTGAGTGGTGCTGTTTGAACGGGGTAGATGGAGGTTGAGGACTTAATGGACATTTTCCCTCCTAGGAAATCGAAGTTGGTGGTGGTCGGAAAGCTATCATAATTTTTGTACCAGTTCCTCAGCTTAAATCTTTCCAGAAAATCCAAGTCCGGCTAGTTCGTGAATTGGAGAAGAAGTTCAGTGGAAAGCATGTAGTCTTCATTGCTCAGGTATCTGCTCAGTTTCCTATATTCTGAATTCCTGGGGTTCTTTTGGTGTTGGGTGAGGCTGGTGAAGTCTGCTGGCTCTGGGAGTAGCAGTCTGGAGGGGCTGGTGAGTTCAGGATGAAATGTAGGCCTGCTGGGAAAGAGGAATGCTGTGAGCGCTTCACTGTGTTGAGTAGTGGGCTGTTGGGATGTGGCCACATAGGTGTTTTATATTTAAAGTAGTTGGAGATTTCTTGTCTTTACATCAACTCACTGGTTTTGTGTTTACTTTTTTAATAATTCACTTTAAAGAGGAGGATTCTGCCCAAGCCAACCCGGAAAAGCCGCACGAAAAATAAGCAAAAGCGCCCCAGAAGGTGAGTGTTGTGCCAGCGTGGTTTCCACACTCACTGGCCGCTGATTTGTGTGAGGCAGTGAGTGCAGCTTGTGATGATGTCACATGTGTGCGGGTGGGATTCTTTCTAGATAGAAAGTTTCAGTGGGTTCGAATGCATGCACGCATTAGGCACGCATGCACGCTGTGTGGTGTCCATTGTAGGTCCTTTGACGGGAAAGTATCTTTTTTTTTTTTCAAAAACATGGAATGCTTCATGAAATTGCGTGTTACCTTTGCATAAGGGCCTTGCTAATCTCTGTATTACTCCAATTTTAGTATATGTGCTGCTGAAGCAAGCACAAGTATCTTTTTTTTTTTTTTTAAGACAGGGTTTCTCTGTGTACATAGCCTCGTGTGTCCTAGAACTTGCTCTGTAGACCATTCGAGAAGGGCCTGCTTCTGCCTCCCAAAAGCTGAAAAGGCATGTGCTGCCACCACTACCACCTGGCTAACTATCTAGTTCTTTTGGGGGGGGGGGTGTCGAGACAGGGTTTGTCTGTGTAGCCCTGGCTGTCCTGGAACTCACTCTGTAGACTAGGCCTGCCTCTGCCTCCCAAGTGCTGGGATTAAAGGCGTGCGCACACCACCGCCCGGCAACTATCTAGTTCTTAAGTGGGGATAAAAGTTTGTTGTGTGTAGCTGAAGTGTGGGGCAGTTTTTTGTTACCGGAAGAGCATGGGCGGGTTTCCTGGTTCTAGGATGACAGGGCCATAGCATTGCTAAGGGGCTGTTGGTCACCTCACACATCAGTCCTGGGCCTTCTGTTAATGTCGAAATTATAACACTGTACTATGGGTCCCTGCAGACCCTCATGGCCAGAAGTGTGGTTTCCCTTTATAACTGCTAAAGGCAATCTACTCTTGACACATACAGTTCATATTGTGAGGTGGTGCTTTTGAGACAGGGTGAGCTATGAACTTATGAAGCCAACATTGCCCTTAATTAAACTCCTGTCCTGTTAGGTACTGACATCACAGGTGCACACCCACTTTGTCCTGTGTATTAATGGTAAAAATTTGTCTTAATTCTTGTTTTGAAAGCCATTGGAAAATAGCTGGGAATTGGGAGTGTGGATAAATTCTGTGTCTGCAGGAAGGGTCACTGATGAAGCCACAGTCTTTGAGCTGGTGGAATGGTGGGATTTTTGTCATGGTACTTAGTGGTTCTTGGAGCCTGATCATAGTTGCACATGAAGTAGCACATGCATAGCGGGGCTAAGATTGCCTGCCATGGCTGCAGTCTTCTCAGTGACTTTGTTGATTTCTACTCTTGACCCCCAGATCACCCTATACCAGATCCCTGTGCCCTAGTATATGATGTGGTGGTCCTATACTAATGTCTCCAGACTCCAACTTTGTTGTGCTGGAATTTTGAGTTTGATTTTATTAGTTTCTGTTTTAAGGGAGCAAGCATCCACTTTGGTACATCTTAACTAGCGTGGTGAGAATGTGTTTTGAAGTGAGTACTAGTGAGAAGACATCTGATTACTAGATAGATGATGCTTCCTTGTGAACGTACAGAAAGAGGGTGAAGTAGCGTGTCGGCTACTTGGTATGTGCTATTTAGACTGAAAGCCATAACACCAGTCTCCCAGTTTGGGATCACAGGTGGTTCCTGACTAGGGAAGGTGGCTTTTCAGTGGTGCAAAAGTGGCATGCATTCTGGAGACGCTAGTTAGGTTCTGAGTTTAGTGCTTTTCCCAGGCCACAGTTGTGTCATCATGAACAGCCACAGCTCCCAAGTGTTGTTCAATCACCAGATATAACAGCTAGCACCTGTAGTGATCTCTTGGTAAGCTAGGGCACTTGGTAGGTCAGGTGTGTAAAATATCTGGCTGGGATTAGAAGTCAGGGAGTCATTGTGGAGCTTGCCTGGCCTTGGGGAGTTTGGGATTCTCTGAGAAGCAAGAGTCCTTTGGAACTTAATGTCAGGGCCAGTGCATAGAGCTGTGATAGAACACACACAGCCCTGTCTTTGGAGGGGTTTATTTGATCATGATACATGAGTTCAGTGATCTCTTGGCAAGGGAAAGCTTTGAGAGGTTTGATTAGGTGAATTACATGTCCAGGTTTTAGAGAGCTTACTGCAGATGAGGATGGTAAGATATGAAAGGATGAGCTAACCCCACCCCCAAGATTTCCATACTCCAGATGGCTTGTGTGTGTGGATGGCCAGGGTGTCACTTAAAGCATATGGCTTTGGGAATCACTCATAGCTTGCTTGCCATTCAAAAGTTTTAGTCTCTGGGACACTGAATACCGTAAGTTTAGGAGCCAAATGTGTTGTTTTGTGACGACTCCTGGTTGGCCTTGAGGGTTGGAATCCTGTCTCACTTGCTCAAGTGTTTGTGTCACAGGCATAAGCTATGACACTTGGCTCCAATGTTATTTTGATTTCAGGAATTTTGGACTTGTTTTCCTTTTTATTCCAAGGGTACCTTCTGCCAGGTAGCTTACTTTTGTCATTTCTTTTCAGCCGCACCCTGACAGCGGTGCATGATGCCATCCTTGAGGACTTGGTCTTCCCAAGTGAAATTGTGGGTAAGAGGATCCGTGTGAAACTGGATGGCAGCCGGCTCATAAAAGTTCATTTAGACAAAGCACAGCAGAACAACGTGGAGCACAAGGTAAGGGCATAGCATCCATAGGAAGGTTCAGCCACTAGGAGCAGCAGTTTATGGTCCATGGTCTCCATCATTCCTGTCTGTCTTCTTGGCTGATTCCGTGTCCATTTTATGTTGGAGATGCTATAGAAACTGGAACACTAACTTACTAGGAGATGAAGAAGCAAGCTGGTCTGCCGGTTCCAGTTTCAGGGAGAGCAGATAGTGTGTTGCTGCCTCGGGTCCCCAGGTAGCTTGAGTGGTGTAAACAAGCATGATGTACAAGTCCCGACTCAGTGTTGGGATTAGGCTGTGCCTAAGTCAGACTCTCCAGGGTTGTTGAAGAGGGAAACCACACACGGTACACTAGCTTTCAGGGCTATTGTATATTGGAAAAGTTAGTGATGAATTCTATCTTCTTTTGCAGGTCGAAACTTTTTCTGGTGTGTACAAGAAGCTCACAGGCAAGGATGTTAATTTTGAATTCCCAGAGTTTCAGTTGTAAAGAAAATGACTGAATAAAGTGTCATTCATAGTATTTAGCTGAAGTTATCTTTTTCAAAATCTCTGCATGGGTGCACAACAGCAGCTTCCTGAATGAGCTGAAATTTTCAAGAGAAGCCTGGAAGATGAAAAAATGCACCTGAAGCCAGTCATGTTGATAGCTGTAATTACATAATGTCAAAATAGGGGTGGGTAGGACTTGGTGTGTTTGCAGCAAACAGGTGACTGTATTAGCTCTTAGAATGTGCAGGTCAGTGCCCTGCATCCATGGTGTTGTGAAACAGTCCTGGGGGTTTGCACTCACTGGAGCTTCACTGCCCTCCAACTTCCTCTTTCTCCCTCCCCCTCCCCCCCCCCCTCCCTCTCTCTCTCTCTCTCTTTCTTTTTTTGGTTTTTGAAACAGGGTTTCTCTGTGGAGCCCTGGCTGTCCTGGAACTCACTCTGTAGACCAGGCTGGCCTCGAACTCAGAAATCCGCCTACCTCTGCCTCCCAAGTGCTGGGATTAAAGGCATCAACTTCCCTTTTCTTTGTTGCAACTGTCCACATTTTATGTCCTGTGTCTGTCTTTGGAACAGGGTTTCACTGTAGTGCAGGCTGGCCTAAAGATGTTCTCCTGGGTTTGCTTCCCACGAGTTCAGCAATTTCGGATTAAGTCCCCATCTGGTTAAATGGAAACAGGTGTTGTCCATGAGGTCAAGGCCTTGAGTGAGGAAGCTCCCAGGACAGATCACAAGCTACAGGTGGAGTGGATGTCTTGTAGAAAGGTAGCTGCTCCATTCCCAAACCTTAAGTTAATGGCCTTAATTACTGCTTGATAAAGGAATAATGCAACCCATATGCAGTGCTTTGCCCTTCCGGCACCTTTTATGTAGAGCAGCTCCTGTGTTTGTTCAGGCCTTCTAAAAGCTGGCAGGCACTGTCTAGAGGCGGGTTTTCAGGCATTTGGTGTGTGACTTCACTATGCTTCATGTCCTTACTAGATAACATGGGTGTTCTGTACAAGAGGCATCTGTACAAGACTGTTCCCTAGCTTGTTCCTGCTGTCTGCCATGGGAGCGGCAACTGTGGTATTGCTTCCTCTGGTGTGAAGTACCACTTCCTCAGCTTACCTTAGTCAGAGCGACACCTGCTCATGGGTCTGCATAGATTACATGCATGGTGGTGAATATTTGGGGCTAACCAGTGTTTATAGAAGGTCTCAAGTGAAAAAGCAGCTGAAGAGATGGCTCAGTGGTTTGGGGTTTCCTGGATTCTATTCCTAATGATCACATGGTGACTCAAACTGCATTTGACTCAAGTTCAAGGGCTCTGACTAATTTTCTGGCCTCTCTGAGCACAAGACTAGTAGTTACCAAGCAGAACAGCCTGATGAATAAATATTGCTATTAGTCTAGAAGCTGAGGTGAGCAGGAGCTCATCTTCATCTTGGGACCACAAGTCTACCCCCCTGAGATAGATCTGTATTTTAGAAGGTGACAAAGGTTATCCGGGAATTGGCTAAGGCAGTACTGGGGAGTATTGCAGTTTTAAACAGTTGTGAGGATGTTTGTGTTAAGTGGGAATTTTTAGTGAGACAAGATGTAAGTATAGAACTTAATATAAGCCTCACATGAGAATATGGTGACTTGAAAGTTGATGCAAAGTCAAGTAGAGGTTTCCAGTTACAGAATGACCAACAGTGGGAAGACTCTACCTTGTGTCCCCAACCCCCAGCTTCAACCTTCATGCCCCTCAGTTTCCTCCAGCACTAAATGGAGCTCAGACTATGCTTAACCTCACTGGCTTGCCTCTGCTTTTTTGAGGTGGCCTGGAACTCCAAGAAATCTGTATTTGCCAGCCTTTGCCTCAGTGGCTACTTCCTCCTAAGTATTACTCTAGTCTATGCTGGCCTTGGATTTGTGAGTGCCATGCTTTGTTTTCTTCCTATGTGCTGAGATTACAGTTAGGACCAGCATAGGCTTCACAGACATATAATGTCTGTAGTCTCAGAATGTGAGGTAAAGGCAGGAAGATCAGTTCAAGGTCATCCCCAAGATAAAAGTTTGAACCCTCAGAAACAGCTTGCTGTGGTGGTGCACACTAAGGCCGTCACCCTGGAGGCAGGGGCACCCTAGTATACATGTTAAGAACAGCCAGCTCCAAAGTGGGACCCGATCTCAAAAGCAAGAATGCTCTTAGCTGAGGTGATTGGAG